CCTGAAAGTGATGTCACCATGTCAGCACGATGCTCTAGGATTCCCTGCCAAAATCTATGGTTTTACCATAGGGCTGGCAACTCTGGAGAGACTGGGGAAGGCAGGACTTGCCTGAATGACATCCGTTGCCACTGCAATGTCACTTCTGGCTGGGGTGATGGATGCCATTTCACTCCTCCCATTTTTCTCCTGCTGCTCTATGGGATGGTGAGCAGGGGCTGCAAGCGATTGGCCAGAGGTTGCCTGCCTGTTCCATTGGGTTTATGAATAACGTCTGCTGGACTGGGCCCCCGTGTTCTGTTCTCTGGGCCCATCTTTCCCTTACTCATCCATGCCTTTCTCTACCACCAGAATTTCCTCTCGGAAGAAGACTTCGTGAGAGTCTTTGGAATGAACAGGGATGATTTTGCCACTCTCCCAACCTGGAAACAGCTCAACCTGAAGAAAGAGAGAGGGCTTTTCTGAGAGGGGAAAAAGTTATGGGTTCTAAAGATGGAGGAAAAGCCATCCAGGCTTAGATCTATTCAGCTTGGACCAGGCGCCCGTGTCCAGAAGCAGCTTAGCCTAAGATGGGAGCTACATTTTTGCTTTCAACAATATATCACAGTTGTGCCTAATTATGCTTTGAAAGTTACCCAAGTCCTCTGCTTTGAGGCCGCCGTTGTCCCCCCCAAAAAGGGGGAAGGAGGAATACATGACCTTCCAGGTTGGTATTGCTGGGAAAACCAACCAGGAAGAAACAGGCCAAAGCTCAGAAGTAGAGTTGCCAACCTCCACGTAGGACCCAGAGATCTCCTGGGATTACAACTGATCTCCAGACTGCAGAGATCAGCTCCCCTGGAGAAAATGGCTGCTTTGGAGGGTGGACTCCATGGCGTTGTACCCCACGGAGGTCCCTCTCGGGATCCACCACCCCAGATCTTCAGAATTTCCCAGCCTGGAGTTGGCAACCCTATTGTGAAGATATATTGGCAACACTTTGTTCTGGGCAAAGGCCTCTTCCCTGCACACAAGTGGCCACTCACAGCCTGCTAGAAATCCAAACCACATGGAGGCCACACGTGGCTGTTAGGTTTGCGTAAATTGGGCCTAAGTTTATGTATTACAAACCGTAAAACTGGCGTCAATGTCAGCAATAGCTTACTGCCTCCTACCCATGGCTAAACCCAAAGAGACACCGAAGGTCTTACTAGATACACTCCATAGTCTGACTTCCAGTGTAAGCAAGGATAACTACGGGAAGAATGGTTTCAGTTACAATATGTTGTCAAAGGCTTCAGTTTCGTTGGCTATTTTTTTAAAAAAAATGGAGGGTGCCTTATACATTTCCTGAAGAGAAAAATTACTGCTGCTCCTCTGGATCCAAGGGAGGTTAATCATTTGGACATCTCTAAACAGAATTAAAAAATAAAAATGACAGCCAGTTATTCTATGTTTGACTCTTGTTGAAAGTGAGTGATACCTTTAACAAAAGAGCTTCCCGCAGGGTTCTAAGCAGAAGAGGTCTTGCTTCCAAAAGCCATGCACTCGCTTCCCTCCCACAGACTACAAACCCCAAACGAGATCAGACTGCCGTGGATCCAGAATCATTTTTCAAATGCTATATGAATAGACGAAGGAAGCGGATTCATGTCAGGAAGGGGTCACGGAGCCAGAAAAAAGGGCAAAATGCCTGCCCTCTGACACGGCTTCCGCTGGCAAAAGAGGTGTGGGAGGGAAACTGGAAGCTCCTTCTCCTTCCTCGCTGTGCCAAGTGATTAAGTGCTGCTTAAGGTGAGTTCCCCTGATGTACCTCTGACTAATAGTCAGGTAAATCCAGGTGGGCAGGCGTGTTGGTCTGAAGCAGTAGAACAGATTTTGAGTCCAGTGGCACCTTTAAGACCAACAAAAGTTAATTCAGAGTGTGAGCTTTCATTTGCATGCACACTTCCTCAGATACATAAATCAGACCCAAGTCAGGTAGCGCATCTGTGACCCAACCTGTGCCCACCGTATTGTGTCTTTTGGTCCTAAGAAAATAATATCAGGTGTCCCTTCTTGCTGTTTAAACAATTAATCCAGCTTCAAGGAGAAGAGGAAGAATGAACCAAGAACATGCAGGGAAAATGGTAGTCATCTTATCTGGGGCAGTCTTGCATTCCTTCACATCTAGAAGGCCACCAAATGAGAAGGGAGCACTCACTGGAGAAGACCCTGATGCTGGGAAAGATTGAAGGTCAAAGAGGACGGGGATGGCAAAGGATGAGATGGTTAGACAGTGTCATAGATGCAACAAACATGAAATTGAGCAAACTTCAGAGGACGGCGGAAGACAGGAAGGTCTGACGTGATCTGGTCCATGGGGTCGCGAAGAGTCGGACTCGACTGTGCGACTGAACAACAAAAAAGAAGGCCTGTGGTTTCTGACACACCAAATTCTGAATCATCCAGAAGAGCCATTTCCTCATTCCTGTAGCATTTCCAGGGAAAGCAGAGCTTCTGCCACACCTAATTAACCAAGAATCTCCTCCACAGACCTTTCACCAGAAACAAACCAAGAACAACTCCTCGGAGGCTTGCTAAATTGCTGTAATGTATGGCAAACCTTAACACACACACCCCAACCAAGAAGTCAGTATGCACGCCTGGATTCTGTAAAACCTATTCAAATACAACATTCTGCAGGGCCTCCATGTTTTTCAAGAGGGAATTAGATAAGCATATGGAGCAGAGGTCCATCAGTGGCTATTAGCCACAAGGTATAGATAGGGACTCTGGGGCAAGTGATGCTCTGTCATCTTGGTGCTTGGGGGGGGTCAACAGTGGGAGGGCTTCTAATGTCCTGGCCCCACTGGTGGACCTCCTGATGGCACTGGTATTTCTGGCCACTGTGGGATACAGAGTGTTGGACTGGATGGGCCTTTGGCCTGATCCAACATTGGCATCTCTTATGTTCTTATGTTCTTATAACCACACAGGGAATGTTATGACTACTCTCGTCGCCATTGCTGTGATGTCACGACCTGGTGTTCAGGCTTTCCATCTATAGGGGGTGGTGGTACTGCACGCTAGACCAGAGAGTAGCACATGATATTCTGCTTGGGGGGGGTGGCGTTTGTGCCTAGCTCATGAGTCACAGAATGTCGCTTTGGGCATAATTAGAGAGATGCAAGTAGCTTAATTTCTGCAAAGGAGAAAAAAATGTTTCTTGTTCTCATGGTTAAAAAGCTTTAGAAGGCATGCAGGGATTACTCAAATTGCAGGGGTGGATTCTAACCAGCATTACACTCAGTGAAAAAATCGTCTGGAGATCCCTGGCCTGAGAGATACCCGGCTGTCCTCAACCAGCGCTAGGGCTTTCTCAGCCCTGGTTCCGACCTGGTGGGACTCTCTGCCAAATGACATCCATGCCCTGCGGGACCCAGTTCAGTTCCACAGGGCTTGTACTGCAGAGATGTCCCGCCATACTTATGATGGAGGACAGCAACGGCTTTTTAATCAACAGTCTTAAATCAGTCTGGCCTCTTTTTTTTTCTGTCCACTCCTCCCTTGAGGTAAGAATAATTGGTTTCTAGGTGCCATTTGGAATGATTATTGTATTATTTTAATGTTTTTAATTATTTTAAATTGTATTTATACACCGGCCTGAACCCCAAGTACTGGGGGAAGGCAGTCTAAAAATCAAGGAAGGAGGGAGGGAGGGAGGGAAGGAAGGAAGGAAGGTAGGTAGGTAGGTAGGTAGGTGGGTGCACTTGAAAAGACAACAGTGCTAGGAAAAAAACTGAAGGTAGTAGAAAACTTGAGACCGACTGAAGGCCTGAACAAGGCTGTTAGTGATAGGACGTTTAGGACATTTTGGAGGTCATTAATTCACAGGGTCACCATAAGTCAGAAACAACTTGATGGCACATAACATACAGCCATTTTCACCAGTTCCCCACTTCTGTGGCAGATCTCTACTTAGCTCCGCATAAGCATTGGTGGGGCAGTTGACTGACACCCAGATGTACAACCATAGTGTAAAACAGACTGCAGCAAGCAGGAGAATGGGGGGGAACATAACTCCCACAAGTACAACCTAAATTGGATCCACCCTGCAGATTAGCAACGGTTTGCCAGGAGGATCCTGTAGCCACCAAGGACCTTCTCCATCCAGTTACCCCATTATTTTTATTTACTTCATTCATATCCCACCTTCCTCCCGAAGGGGACCCAAAATTCTCCTCTCACCCATTTCACGCTCACAACAACCCTGCGAGATAGATTGCACGGAGAGTGTTTTATGGCAGAGTGGGGAGTTGAACCTGGGGTTCCCAGATTCTAGTCCAATACTCTCTAACCACTGAACCACACCAGCTCCCGAGACTGATCTCTGGAAGCACCACACGCCTCTTCGATCTTGCTTTCCGAAGTGTTGCAGTGAGGAGGGGCAGCAGAGCAGCTCTCCGTCCCTGGAACGTGACGGCTTAAAAATACAGAGTTGCATTAGATCTCCTTTACTGTTTGCTTGTGCTGCATGGTGAGCAGGTGAAGCGACTAAGCGGGCCCTTTAAATGTCAACACAGGTACAGAATGCTACACTGGCAGGAAATACTCTCCATCGTTGGTGGCAGCAGCTACTCAGTTTGGTTCTGGCCCCCTTGAGGGGGAAGGGGAAGGGGTGGCCTCAGCAAGCAGAGACTTGGGACGGTTGTGGAGTTTTTCCAACCCCCCAGAGAGCAACCAGAAGGAAGGAGGAAGGGCCCCCAAGTCCATTTGCATATTCCATATGGCAAGACCCATGCCCATTTTGTCACACTTACTACTTTCCCATTTTGCTTATAAGGATACAAAACTTAACTTTAGCAGAGATAGCATCAACTCAGATAAGAATATTCTACTACTACTACTAGAAGGAGCTTCAGGTTAATTAATGTGAAACAGTTATGAACAAGCCCTATGGTGGATGACTTGCAACTATGGTTAAATGTTCTGGTAATGTAATTTACACGTGCATTCCCACTCACAGGGCATTTGCCAGTTTGCACAGGTAGAACTGTTTCCTTTATTTGCAATATGTCAGGGTATCATTTTAAAAAGACAATACGGTAATAGAGCCAAGCTGTTGGAATCACTAGCTCCAGGTCTATTGTCAATGGCAACATCATTCCACGATGAATCCAGGTACCTTTTCAGGTTTCATCAACATCCAGTTGCTACATTTAGTCAGTTGCATACCACAGAACCATTTCCAGGCTTTGGAAAAAAGATTCCATGGATAACAGTTGAACTTCTTTGGCCCTCAAACACAGGATTCATTCCGTACCAGCCAGATCTCTAAGCCCACCAGGGCCTATAGGTAGATCCCGGAAGAGTTCATTTTTCTAACACACACACACACACACACACACTTTACTCTGCCTCCACCGTCTCCATATACTCCCCGCATTCAAATCGCACAAAATCTAGCACAGACACCCCTGTGGGCTGAATGTACTGTCCCAGAGAGATAGCAGGATCCAAGAGGAAGGGCTGAGCGAGCATCTTTGTCTCAGAGTCATCGCCAGGTTCGTCTTCTGGAGAGCCTACGGAGAGGGGGGCCATGCCCACCACGTGCTGGCCCAGCCTCCAGCCGAGTTCTGCAAAGTCTGAATTGTCACACGGATTGGGGGGGCTGCAGATCACCACGGCACCGTACTTGCCAAACATCATGTTAGAAAGCAGCGGGTTCCCCGACGGGGGTGCTCCGTGCACGTAAGAGCCGATGAAGCAGTTCTCCGGCACAGACACCCACGCCGCCCTTTTCATAACCATGTTCTCCCCTAGTTTGCCTATAGAAAGAAAACACAATTGCATAAAAAGGAGGAGGGAAAAAAAGAATTAGCTATTAAGAGGTACAGGCTGTGTTTCAAGGCTAGCTATGATACTTTGCTCAAACAGCAAGCCACTCCACTGTGCTTCTAACATAGACCACTAAAGACTACTGCCACTAAGGCCTGCATCCGAAGAACCTTTTCCTGTGAGTAAGCTCCAATGAATAAGCAGGGTCTTGCTTCGGTTTGAAAGTAATCCTGCATTGGCTATCAGAACGTCTGCGTGGCAGGGTAGAAGCAGATTCCCAGACATGAAGCAGCTGCAGGTTTGAGAAACCCAAAGCCCCACCAGGCGTCACTGAAAACACACAAGTGTTAAGAGGGGGGAAAGAGGGATTTTGACTGAACCCTGGTTAAGCCAAAGGCTCTGCCAGGAGAGGCTGCAGAATTTTCCTCACACTGCAGCAGAAAGGGGCGTGGGGTGGGCAGACCACATCTGGCCCAAATCACTTTGCAGGGGGAAAGAGAGTAAAAGGGAGCTTCCCCCCCAATGTGAAAATTCTTTGCTCCAAGGGCCACAAAGTAAAAATTTACTAATTTCCTTTTTTTTAAAAAAGCACCTGGAACTAGTCTAGTTTGTGACTAGAATCACTCGGCAGAGTATACAGTTCAGTTTCCAGTACAATACCTAATTCCCTTCTAACACAGCCTTCCTAGTCCTCAAGGTTACAGCAGTAGCTTTGACACAGAAGCACATTTATGTCACTGCAAAAAGCCAACTGCAAACAGAACTCAACAGAAGGGGCCATTTTTAAGTGGCACGCACCATGACGGACCAGGATTGTGTGGGGGATAGGGCAGCAGGCCAAGCAGAGTAGCAAAAACGCATTTCAC